GGGAGCGCCCTGCGGCTCTTCGCTCCGGCGCGGGGAGAAGGAGCTTTCTGAGGCGGCCGGCCTCTTCCTCAGCTCTGCCGGCAGCCCCGCACTGGCACCCAGCCGCATCCCACCACCCCTCGCCCCACCGGGGCCCCCCGGAGCCCTTAGGGAGGTGCCCTGATGAAGACCATCCTGGTGGAGTAGATCAGGTCCACCAAGTAGGCGATGAGGTTGAAGATGGTGAGGAAGGTGACCCCCAGGTGCCTGTCCCACCAGCAGTTCCTGCCGCAGGGGTTGGGGCGGTTCCTATTCTTGAAGCTGTAGAGGGGCCAGAGGACGGTGGCGGTGATGTACATCCCCAGGGCCAGGGCATTGTAGCCCACCAGCATCTTCTCCAGCGGGCAGGGCATGTAGGTGAGGCAGCGGCCGATGGTGAAGATGATGATGAGGAAGGTGATGATGAAGCAGATGGAGTAGACAGCCACGCACCACTGCAGGCCGGCTTCCGAATGATAGGTATCCAGCAAGGAGAAGATGAGACAAGCCACGTAGGCTTCGAACACCTTGAGGAGCCCCGGCACGGTGGAGAGGAAGCTGCTAATGTCCCCCGGCTTGGCGCGGGTGAGCCCCACCTCGAGGGCGTAGGCGAGGAAGCAGAGGAAGGAGACGGTGGTGGCCGCGGCCTGCCGGGCACACTTGCTGCCGCCGCAGGGGCTGCTGATGAAGGTGGCGGGGAAGACCACTGAGGTGGTGAAGACCATCAACGTCGCCAGCATGGAGAAAGCTGAGGTGAAGTCGTCCCAGGAGAGCGGCAGCTTGGGGTAGAGCTCCAGCAGCTCCAGCACCAGCACCAGCAGCGTCACGGCGAAGCAGAAGCACCAGGTGAACATGCACCACGTCCCGTAGGGACCCCTGAAGTCCCCGGTAGAGGCCACCAAGCTGAAGGCGATGCAGGACAGCACGACGGCAAAGAGCCGGGCGATGCCCACCCAGGAGGTCACGGCACGGAGGTTCACCGTCGCCAGAGCCATGGTCCTGGCCAGCTCTCCCACCCACGCCGTGTGCTGGGAAATGGGTGCTGCTGGCAGCCGCTCTTATCTGGGTGCTGGGACGGAGGGGTGGGGCGTGGGGCAGGGAGCTGCCGGCCCCCCGAGCTGCCCGTGCCGATGACTCCCGGTTTTGCCACCACCGCCACCGCCGCCAGGCACGGCTCGCCGGGGTGGCTACTGGGGGCTGGTGGCGGCAGCAGCACGGGTCGGTGGATCATTAACGCGGGGCCGGGCGAAGGGTGCTGGCGCTCGCGGTGACGCCGAGCCCTGCGGCGGGGCTGGGGGGGCGGGGGGCGGGGGGCACCGGGTTGTGTGCTGCCGTCCTGGCACCGTGCCCCAGCCCTGCCCGCGGCGGGAGGCACAAAGGGGCCTTTCAGGCACCCCCGGAGCACCGGGGAGGCCACCCCGACACCTCCATCCCCACACTGCGCCGGGGCCGGCAGCCAGCGGGGCAGCACCCACGGGGTCCGCCTGAGGGGTTTGGGGGGCTGCACCCAGTGCCGGGTGCCCCTGGCAGGGAGGGTGCCATGGTGGGGAGCAGCTGAGTGTAGCCCCCCCTCCCTCTGGGCAACACCTCCCATCCCAGCACCTCCGCGCCCCTCCCAGCACCTCCGGCACCTCCACCACCCGATAAGAGGCTCAAAGTCCGGCTTTGCCAGCTGCCGTCACTGGGCAGGGTGGGTGGGGTCACCGCGGGGAGGGGACCCACACCCTCCCCGCCCCGGCCACCCATGGCACCACCAGCACCCCACTGGCAGCACCACCACTTCCCCGAGGTGCCCGGCTGGTGCTGGCACCGGGCACCCCGGCAGCACCGTGCGGGGGTCTCGCCCCCATGGCCCCAGCAGCTGGAGCAGCACAGGAGGGTGGTGGCATGTCAGAAGTAGGGTGTCCAACGGGAGGATGATGATGGCGAAGGCTGAAGGCTCCGGGTTGACCTTTAATGCCGCGCAGGGTCCAGAGGGTCTGTGCCCATGGCGCAGCTTGGGGACGAGGGATCCAGGGACCCAACCTGGGGGCAGCCTGGCACTTTTGGGGGGATTCTCACCCCAAACCACCACGGTGTCCTCACCCCAGGCAGGGTCCAGGCACAGCCACTGGTGGGCAGGGGACGGGCACTGCCACGGGGGGCCAGCGGCAGCTCCAGGGGGGACACGGCGGCTCAGAGGTCGCTGCCGCCCTCGCCCTTGCCGGGCAGCCCGTTGAGGGAGCTCAGCGCCGGCCGGTTGCTCTCGTTCAGCCGCCGCACGCGGTAGCTCTCGTAATGGACGTTGTGGGTGATGTCCTTCAGGTCCTGCAGGTGGGACCTGCCCGGGGCAGTAACGGGGAGGAAAGGCATCAAGTCACCGTCCCGCCATCCCCGCCGCGGGGTGCCGGCACCCCCCGCCCCGTCCCCTGCTCACCGGATCAGCAGGTCCCGCAGGAGGGGGAACTCGCAGTGCGCTGGGTTCTCCACTGCAAAGCAAGGCAGAGCGGGCAGCGGGGCAGGCAGGGTGCAGGCAGGAGGGCAGGGTAGCGGGGGCGACGCCCGGGGAGCACATCCCAGCAGGCTCCGGGTACCACCGCAGCACCGGCACGGCTCCACGCTGGCTCAGCACCCCCCAGGGCAGGG